GAGTCGCGTTGCGTATGACTTCAATCATATTTTGTACATATAGTGTAGTGTACGTATTATATAAATTTTGCCCGTTTACTGTACTTTGAACTATTTTCATCTTGTTATTTAGATCTATTTATGTTGACTATTATTAAATAGATAATAATGATTGCGGCGGCGGCGTTTGCAATACCGAAGCGCCTATTATTTAAAAAATTCAACTTCTATTAATAAAAATATTGTTAATTTATTTGTTTTTAAATAGTACACCCGCAGTAACACTGAACGCAACTGATAACCAATTAATTCAAACGACACTAAATTTGGTTGATGGTTGCTATTTAAATTTGTTTTATCATGCGCAAAACTACTTCCTGGTAGGTAACTTGGCTCTAGTGTAGAATCTAGGAGGCAGGATATGTTGTGGGGTGAAAAGGCATTGTCAGCGGAAGGAGTTCCAAACTTCAAGATAGTTCTCAGAATTTTGATTTTGACCGCCCGTAAACGAGGATTAATATTCAGACTCTATTATGTATATATTTTGAAATGTTTTTTAATTCGGAATTCTGGTATTTTTTAAATTTGAAAACATGTTATCTACACACGAAATTTTCTTTCCATCATTACTGTTATAAAATGAAAAGTAATGAAAACATCCATCATACCAAGCTATAGCAACCCTCATGTTATTAATTTGAGTGAAAGTATATAGAGATGTGCCAGTAAGTTTTTTTTTTTTTTTTCATATGTATTACAGAAGGGCAGAATATTGCATGAACTGAAGTGATTTTTGTATCAAAAATTCTATTTTAGTTCCCTTCTGTAACATTTTTAACAGGGTCTGCCTATTAGTGATTCAGCTAAGTGTGCAACCATTGCATTAGTAACCTGATTTCAAATATAAATAAATATAAAAGTACTCATTTGATTCTGACAAGATTTGATATTTAGGGATAAAAATATGTTAGAACAATGCTATACCTAAATCAGTACTTTGTGATTATCTGCACCCCATCTTAAAATGTTGCCCATCAGGCTAAGACATAAAGCCATTTGCAAAAATGCCATCACACTAAGAATTACATAAAATAGCAACTAATTAAAAATGTAAGAAACATCCATGATAAAATACTGATTTATTTATTTATATAATTTTTTTGTGTTGCTCTTCCCATGTACACAGCAATCTGTTTCAGCTTAAAATGTCAGAGATTTGCAGAAACATAGGTAAAATTATATTTTAGGGTACCCCTTGGCGATTTTTGGTGGTACATGGATACTGAATTTGTGCAAGTCTTTGACTTGTTATTTTGGTTTGCGTAGCAGCGATTGGTGCTTGATGATGATTCTTCACACCCAGGATTTGGCGATTGGGTCCTCTAAAAATGCCAGTTGCCCTTTAAAAGGGGGAGTATATAAGGTATTTCTCCCGCCTTCTTAGCATGCTTTCGTAGTGTAGTGGTCTGCATGCTGGGCGTATATTACAGAGGTCCGTGGTTCAATTCCCGGCGAGGGCATTGCTCATTTTTCATCTCCTGCTTCGAAAAATACCTAATGTCTCTACAAGTTTTAGGAATGTTAATCAGAAGATTCAACTATGGAGGTGACAAAAAGAAGGAAATTATTGAAGAGTGCAATGTTGGCATGGATTTTTTTGCCAAAAATCGCTGCTACACGAAGCCAAAATAACAAGACAAAGAATTGCACAAACTTGGTATCCATGTACACATCGACCTATTTTCACTCAAAAAAATATCAGAGAATTGCATAGACTATGCTTTGCACACTTCCTTGAGTTTGTCCATGTACACATCAATATATTTTCACTTAAAAAGTCAAAGGAGCACCCAGTTCTGCAGTAGAGGCAAACAAAAAATACATAATCCCAATAAACTACATTTTAAACCAAACAATAAAATAACATAAAGGAAAAACTTGTTATGCATTTAAACATTACACAAAGCAAATAAAAAAGAAAAAAACTTGTTATGCATTTAAACATTACACAAAGCAAATATCCACTTACCTCTGTGGCACACAAAATTCCTTAACAGCATCCAAAAACTTTCTGAAATTATCTGAAGTAGAATCCATGTATCGGCGTCGCCACATAGATTCACAAAAAATAAGAGTAAAAAATATCCTATGTATTCCAAACTGTTCGGAAAATGGCTACTAAGTAAACCTTCATATACACACCAGTCATTAAATGCACTTTTCCCCTTTCATTTCAAATCGTACTGAAATTTCAGATTAATCTTACTACATTTAGCCATTCTAACGTCTAAACAATGAAACAAGCAATGTACTTCCTAACCACACACACAGACTACAAAAGCCATTACAAAACATCCCATGATTCAAAATTCCCCAGAATAATGCAAACAATTATATCATAATAGGGTTTCCATAACATTCAATTACTTAGGTTACCATAAATGAAACAACTTGGCAAGAAACGAAACAACAGCTTCGCGATAATACAAGGGATACCGTAAAGTCAACTCTAACTGAAACACGGCATAACTTAGTACTATGTACATTATTTTCCCCATGTACACAGCATTCTGTTTTTGCTTAATAAAATTAAAGAATTCCATAAATTCAATGTCAGTGCACAAAATTTAATGCATTAACCGCTTGCCTAATTATCCCGAGTTATCTCAGGTTCGTATATATATTGTAGTTAATTATTATCCCGAGAAAACTCGGGTGAAGAAGAATTTGTTAATATGATTTCTTTTATCACGGTTTTACTCAGTCTGGAGGAAATGAAAGGAAATATTCAGCTTTGATTGGCAGTTTGCCAAATTTTGTTGGTTGCACGGTTCTTTTGGAGAGACTGGTCATATGTTTCCCTATTGTGTAGTATACGTTGACTTGTGGATTAGTAATGTATAAAGAAGGATGCATGCGTTGAAAAAATAAAATAATGGCAATGATGCAAGATAGCGAAAGCGATGATTTTTCAGATAGTGATTGTGAAGAGGTGGAAAAAATATCAAATCCAACGACACAGTGTACTCTGTGCTCCTGTGAAAGAAATTCCAATGGTAATCCAGGAAGAAAAGATACCAGTGTAGAATGTCAGGTATCACTCTGTGTTGTCCCTTGTTTCAAAAACTATCATACAAAAATCAATATTTAACTTTTTTCGTTTGCCCGGGATAGTAAATTAATATTAAAAATAAATGCTTTTACACTTTCAAAAAATAAAAAATTCAACTTAAAACCTACATATTTTGATGGTACTTACGTATTAAAGCAACCAGGCCAAAATTCGCATAAATTGCCAAATTTGGCGACCCTACTTACGGCAACCCTACGTGGTATACGTAGTTATGTAAAAAGAGCATGTGGAGATTCACAAAATTTTCCTGCATTTTCGTGCACATTTTTGTAATTTATGAGAAAATAGCAGTGTACATGGATAAAGTCAAGAGTGTGCGCAATGCCATTTTTGTGCAATTCTGGGATGTTTTTTTAAGTAAAAATAAGTCGACGTGTACATGGTTATGGCGAATACAGTTTTCAATCAGTGCTAAAAGCAATAGCCAAAAGATTTGCTCCGAAAAAATAATTCTGCAACTTATTAAAATTCGAAACCGGACGGGTAGGGTTTAATTGCTATTTTATATTTAAAACAAAATAATATAAAAAAACTGTATTAAAAATTATCTGTAATTAATAAATGTACATTTTCTTTCTATTCATACTTTTTTACTCAAACTTAGAAATAGCGCCAACCTGGTTGCGATAATTCGTAAGTACCTTTGATTTGTTTTGTTTTGTTGTATTTAATAATAAAATTAAAAAAATGTGATGATTTTTTGCAATTTTTTTCAAAAAAATTTGTAAGGGAAGCGGTTAAATTCGTTCATTTACGAAGTACATCTTCATCAAAGGTGAAGGTTTGCATTCTCTACTGCTAGGCAAAATACCATATTTCTGTAGAAAAGCAATGCTTTCCTTTTCATCAATTAGCAGCCTCCACAGTCCCATTATGATTTCTTACAAGAAAAAAAAATCCATTTAGTACAACTAAAACAAGCACGAAGGGCCACTGCTCATCTACTGTGTGTGTGCGAATCATACTTGATAAGAGAAATTAAACTTAAATTTTTATTAGTTGGCCTGCTAGAGAATCTCTTTTTTGTTTCCATATTGTGCGTATTGCATATTCATAAAGTTAAGTAAGCAAAATCTATTTTACTTTACTGTAAAGAACATGAAAATAGTCTCTGTGCTCCAGTTTACCACAAAAAATTTCTACTATTAATAAGCATGTTTTCTGTCCTTTTATAGAATTTGTGCCTTTTCTTCTGTCAGTTTGACATTTCCTATTCATTCTAGGAATCGGAGCACAATGTTATGATTACCCAGTCCATCTTCCACTATTGGAACATTTTCTTTGTTATCATTCTCATGGTCTTGATCCTGAATTTCTTTTATTCTTTGCATTCTCGGTAATAGTTTCATTTAATGAGGTTTGAATTATTATTTTCAGTCAGCACTGATGGAGTCTTCAACTTCAGTGGAGTTCATACTGATAAACTGAAGCATGTTCTTAAGAAGTTCATAATTTCTCCAATTTCATATGTCTAGTATTCAAACCAGCTTTCCAGAAATAGTTCAGTATTATGATCATTGACATACTGCTTCACTCTTTATTGGCAAAATAAAAATTTTTCAAAACTGTTTGACTGTTCTAATATTGTCTGCTCTGATTCTAGGGCATATATTAATGAAGTATTTCATCCCTTCTATAATAGATTTTAAAAATGAGAATCTTTTTTTGATCCATGGGTTGAAAGACGTGTCACAGGCAGGAACTTGATTTAATGACATTTTCAACCTGAGAATGAGTATTTGTACAACAGAAGCAGAGTTTTTCTTTCCTTTACTCACACTTCTTAATCTCGCTGATAAAGTTCTTCTGGGGGGGGGAAGGATAACATCATCCTTTATTGTCGGACCACTAATTCATTGGTCATTGCTTGATGTTTTTAATATTTCTGAGATTCTTAAACTTTTCTGTTAGTAATAGTTTCTTCTACTATGACCCTGACATATTAGCACTTATCCAGAACATTACTCAGGTGTTCAGCTCTTGACCACCAACATACTTTTCTGCTTTAGAGCTATATGTTTTATCAGATGTTAGTTGATAAAATTTTCCAGCTTCAACACCCTTGAAGATATCATCAGACAAACTCAATCAGTTTAATTTCATATCCCAATATACAGTCTTTCCAGCATGTTTTGCCTTTTCTTCTATATAGCCAGCCATCTGTATGAACATTTGAACTCATGGTTCTTGTAATAGTTACTCATCTTTGGTCTTCAGCACTTCATGTTAAGAGGGAATCTTCAAGGTGCTTGAAGCATTGTGTGATCAAGTCTTTGAAGCATTAAATTTGTTCATAAATTCGTCCTTAAGCCTTTGAAGCATTATGTGATCAACATCTTCTTTATTAAATAACCATTTTTTGTTTAATCTTTCCTTTTCAAAGCATGCAGAATTTTTGTCCTTGTTTTTCAAGATTGTTGAATTATTGTCAACTCTTGGTTGAATTTGCTTAAACTATACTTCTAACAAGCCATCTTCAATATCATTGAAAACATTGCCCTTACTTGCTTACAATTCCACCATTCACTTGTGGCAGTAAAACTAAAGATAATAGTAAACTGAAAGCTAAGCTAGTAGTCAAAGACTACACATATTAATTTAACATAGCAGTTTGATTGGAAACTTACACCTCCGTGATATTAACTTCAGCGGCAAGAATGTGAAGTTGAGATTTGGAATTCGTACAGCTGCTAGACATAACAACATGCACACTCAATTACAAAAACATGCTTTGACTACCCTTTTATCTAGTTCAGTTTAAATACTTTCTTGTTCACCCTAACTCATTTACATCGTGGTGATGAAATGCGAGAGAAATAAGAAAAGACAGAAAAAACTTGTTTGTTTCAACTGTAATGCATTTCTATTAGTGTGTAATTTTTTTAGTAGACTGTCTATGTTTTAACCAACTTAGATTGTAACATTTTCATAACTGTGGCTTGCGTTTTGACCTTATAATTGGAAAAGAGGTCAAGACCAACTTATTTCAATTCGTAAAAGAGGTTGGGTTGATCTTTAGATTATGGTAACTTGGCGAAAATTTGGCGACCAACTCTCCTACAGCAACCCTCCATTTTTTTTTTTTTTCCTGCCGCCATTTTGTCTTCACGAAGTAAAGACATGTTTCTTTTCTTTTTGTCTACTCAACACTTCTTCCGACAATCTACTAGCCGAATTACACTTATGCTAGAAATTTTATCTAACAAAACTGCTTAATCATGACAAATATTCACTGCAAAATTGGGAAAAAAAAGTGCACAATACCATACTCCTTACGTGTTTTTCAAAATAACACATACACATAAACCATGTACACGTCGACTTATTTTTACTTAAAAAAACATCCCAGAATTGCACAAAAATGGCATTGCGCACACTCTTCACTATATCCATGTACACAGCTTTTTTCTCATAAATTAGAAAAATTTCACGAAAATACATGACAATTTTCTGAATCTTTAAACCCGGTAAAAGAACATATATGAAATTACCTGACCGCGAAAAAGTATTTACCCTTTCCAAATATGAACATTTCCACATATAAAATATATAAAATATCCAAAAACTTTTACCTCTAAATCATCTGCTATATTATAAACGTCACCAATGAATTCATACCGCAAGCATTACAAATACTTAGTATCAAATATTTAAATTATTTCCATGCACGTTTACTTCAACTAAAACGTATACCAAATTCCTACAAACATAAAATTCACAAAAATAACTATCATTTAATTAAAATATCACTAAACCATGTACACGTCGACTTATTTTTACTTAAAAAAAAATCCCAGATTGCACCAAAAATGGCATTGCGCACACTCTTCACCATATCCATGTACACTCCTTTTTTCTCATAAATTAGAAAAATTTCACGAAAATGCATGACAATTTTCTGAATCTTTAAACCCGTTAAAAAGAACATATATGAAATTACCTAATTACGAAAAAGTATATACCCTTTCTAAATATGAACATTTCCACGTATAAAATAAATAAAATATCCAAAAACTTTTACCTCTAAATTATCTATTATATTATTAACGTCGCCAACGAATTCATACCGCAAACATTACAAATACTTAGTGTCAAATATTTAAATTATTTCCATGCACGTTTACTTCAACTAAAACGTAAACCAAATTCCTAAAAACATAAAATTCACAAAATAACTATTATTTAATTAAAATATAATTAAATTCAAAAACACTACTTAAAATATAAATAAGCACATACATTAAATTAATAAAAATTAGCTTACAATCCTAATTACTTTAAACTAAATCATTGCTAATAACAATTTTCCCAATAATACCAAATTACTTTACTTCCACTTACATTTAGAACAATGCATAAAAATAATATCCTCATATAATTAAAAATACTAACTTACCTAATCTTCTTCAGAATCTTGATTATGTGTCCGATAAACTTTTCTTATTTCCTCCGCTAAATAAAAAGCAAGCGTATGTGCGCCTGTTTTAGGATCTTTAAAACCATACTTATAGTTCACAGCAAGGTACCAGGTAAAATAAATAACTTAATAAAACATCTTTACTTCTATCACGCACAACCTTAAAGAAACACTTATTACTACCCCTTTCAATCCCACTAAATACCCATTTCGAATTCACTTTAGTTAGGACCATGGGATCCAAAAATTAACGAACGCTGTTTCACACAACACAGAATAAAGCCAAATACAAAATTTCCAGATTTTTTCCCGATTTCCCCCCTTTTCCGATTAAAGAACCGTAATTCGTCCATTAATATCACATGACATATCCCATGATCTCTCATTTCCCTCACACAAAATAATGCGTAATCAGAACTGAGTACTGCTCACATTATTACCAAAGTCCTAGGTAGTAACCTTTATCGCCTCCAAAATGTCGCCAAACTACCAGTTACCATATTCTAAAGATCAGCCAGAGGTTGGTATTTTGTTACTTAACTTGATTTAGTTTTTAAAGTAATATACTGATATTTTAATAATGTGAAATTTAATGTATTTCATCCATGTTTCACATTTGATATTATTATCTGGGTTTCATGTACTTGCTCATCTCAGCATTAATCATTATATTATTTCATTTGATTTTGTAACTGTCTTATTGTTTTTAAATTGTGTTTGTTGTGTACTTGTTTATGTGTATAACTTGTATTTGACAAATCATAACCTTCCAGAAAATCTACCATCACACTGTAACTGAAAATTTTAGGATACCTTTCTTATGTATACAAGTCAAAAACTTTGGTTCATTATAGTTAAACTCACTAAAAGTGGAATTGATGCTTATTAAAAAAAATTACAACAAATTTCGGTACTTTGGGATTGCCCCCGCCTTTTCAATGCTGGGCAGAAAGGGGAATGTTTTCAGTGTATGTTTGATATTACAATTAAGAATAGCCAACTCATGCAAGGGTAATCATGCATATGGATTTCTACTTTTTGTATTTAACCATCATTCCGCTGAATATAATATACCGGCTGTAAAAGTGTAAATATTGGCCATAATTTTTTTCTCTTTTTAATTGAATTTCCTGTTTCTCATAAAATGCTTCTTTATAAATAGAACAATATCTACAAGCCATAAAAATGAGTTTTCTTCCCCAAAGTCACCAATGAGTTGGCAACTTTTTGTTGGGTTGCGGGTAATTTAAAAGTACCCCTGTTTATCTTTTTGAAAGTATATGCTTGACTCAGTTATGTAAATAAAAGTGTTTTTTTTTTTTTTTAATACATGCTTCTCAAGCATATGTCAGGAATTGCTGTATCCATTGGTCCTGTTTAACCACTAAGAGTATTTTTTAGTGAAGCCATGTCAGACTTAGTATCGCAAGTGGGCCAAATAGTCATCAATGTACAAGAATGCAGGATACAAGAAACAAAAAGTCGTTTTCATAGTTAATGATGTAGTAAGTCAAAAAGTGGATCAATACATAAAATTTTACCTAATATTGTAGTTTGTAAAAAATGCAGGAGGAACTCGAGGAAATATGAATAGCAGGTTATGGATATTTGTAGTTTCTTTCTTGATACCTGGCATCTTTTACTGTAGCCAATTTTCAGATTCCTCCAGACATGCTCTCTCACACTTGAGATTTTCAGATCTCCCTGAGGACTTATTTCTTTTCATTACCAAGAAAAGTTGTTCCAACTGATACATATGTACCAACGAACATGGAAATCATGTACGATACAAATTTGCAGCTTTCTAAGAATCACTTAGGCAAATGTTTGTAAAATTTGGAGATACTCATTTCACTGAAATCGCTTTCGCTTGAGTCACATAGAATTTCTTCTAATTCCCTTTGTAAATGGGCTGACACTTTTTGAATTTTAGTTGAGGAAGTATTTCTGTAAAGGCAAAGTTCTGTAAAAATTTAAAAAAAGACTCTCTCAAGAGTCTTTTTAGCATTTGAGGTTGTATATACTCCTCAATCTTTGGTAGAATTTCAATTTTTATTAATAAATTATAATTATATATTTTTTGTTATTTTTAGGGTATTGAGAGAGGACTGCAGAACAATGAGGCAAGGTCACAGAACAATAAAACATTGAAATTGCTCAAGTGTTGAGAACATTTTAAACAATTAAACACAATGAATTTTAGGTATTGCTTGTTGTATTCATTGCAAAATAATATCATAAATTCGTATATTTTATTTATCACAAATGGTATTTTTCAGCAGTTCAAAAGATATTAATTTAAACTCATTTATATGATTAAAAATTTTCTGTGTAAAAAGACTACTAGGTTGATACATTCTTAAAGAAGAATATATTTTATAATTTCAATTTCATGCACTTAATATTTTTTATAATTTTTTTGGATACAAATTATTTGATCCCCTTTGTGAGGCCAAACAGCAACCAAGCGCTAAAGTCGCTGAACACTGGTAATTTGTTCAGGGTTCGAATCTTGGAAAATGGGCTGGCTGCATGGGCATTTTCCTGATTTTTCCCATGTGTAACGTGTATGTGAGCCAGTTTTCCTTGTAAAGTCCCTATAAAGGCGTCCCTTCCCTTAGCCAGGTATCTCTCAAGTGCTTTGCCGTAATTAAGTAAACCAACCCTTTTGTGAGACAGCATGGTCATCTCTGGTAAGATCACATCTATGCAAGTTACATTTATTTTGTATAGAATTCTTGTATATTATGCTAGGAATATAACAGGTAAAAAAAGCTCTAATATCTGTTTGGTGTATCTAAAATTTGCCATCAACAAAATTCAGCCTGTACTCACCTAATTCATTAAATTAAACCATTGTTTTATACTTCTTATAAATTTACAAAGATCAGTTCTATTTTCTTGTTAAGGAGGTAAGAGTAGCACACCGTGGATTAAAAGATGTCTCTTTCTCTCATTTTTATATGTATCTGATATTCTTAGTTCTTCATAAGCATTTAAATTTGCTTTGTCACTTAAATTTCAGTCTTTCTTCATTCTTGCATATGCATTTGGCAGTTTTGGGCTGAAAATTGTGATTCTTTGTAAACTGAGTGTATGTAGTATGTAATCATTCATTTGTTTAAAAATTTACTACTAATGTTCCCACTTTATAATATTATGTAAATTTTTTACACGTATGTGTGTGTGTGTCAATATATATATATATAATATATTTATCAGAACATTTTCATCTTTCAGGTATTCTATTGTTTGATTCGGGAGACATATTACAGAAAGATGCATATACTACCATCTTATTTTGGGCGATTTATTTACATGAAGAGTAAAATAAAATATTTAATTCTTGCATGTATAATAATCTTTGTGGTTGACTACTTTGGATTACTCCTGCATCTTCTTGAAATTGATTATAGTAGGTTCACATATCCATTAGATATTTCTATGGAGGAAACATTAGCAGAAATAAGAAGAAATAACAAATTTTTGTATCATCCTATTAATGAGTATAATTATAACTATAAAATAAAGAATGAGCAAAAGTGTTTACAATTGAAACATGATAAATATGATGATGTGCTTATATTATATATTATTAAATCAGCTTTACTTAACCAGAGGCGAAGAGATGGAATTCGCAAAACATGGGGCTGGGAAAACAGATTTTCTGATGTTACCATTCGCAGAATATTTATGCTTGGTGTGTCTGAGGATAAAGTTATTCAAGATGAAATTGATGAAGAGTATGTAAGGTTTAAAGATATTCAGGCTGATTTTCTTGATACATATTACAACAATACAATAAAAACGATGCTAGCATTCAAATGGGTCATTCATAATTGCCCTAGAGCGCAGTTTATTGTATTTGCTGATGATGATATGTATATTTCAACAAAAAATTTGCTGAAATTCATACGTAATCCTTTTAATAAGCGTGTAGGCTTCAGGCGTAGGCGTAATGTGTTGGATAAATTTCTTCAAAATATGACACAGTCTGATAGGCTGATAACTCTTGACTTACTTCATAGAAGTCGTAATATAAATAAAAATTTTACTTTTCGAAAAATGTTTGAACTTGATCCTGTATTAAGTGCATTTGATGGAAGGCTTTTTGCTGGATATGTGTTTTCATCATCACCTATGAGACATAAATCAAGCAAATGGTTTGTAACATTAGCAGAATATCCATATTCAAAGTACCCTCCATATGTGACAGCTGGCACGTATGTATTATCTTATCCTGCATTAGAAGATATGTATTATACTAGTCTTTTTACAAAGCACTTCAAGTTTGATGATGTTTACCTTGGCATAATAGCAAAGAAATGCAATATAGTTCCTCTTCATAATGAGCATTTTTATTTTTGGAGAAAACCATACAGTAAAAATGCATATGCAAATGTAGTAGCATCACATGGATTTTCAGACCCAGAAGAACTGAAACAGATTTGGGAAGAACAGAGAAGTTTAGGTCATGCTTGAATGTTTAATTAACATCTTTCAATGCTCGTATATTTCGTAAAATATTTATCATGTTAAAGAAGTAATAAATGCATCATAGTTTTAAAATTAAGCATGTTCCTAAACTAGAGGAGAGAGCCTTCTAAAAGCAGCTTTTTGGTCTTTCATCTGTATGTTTGATTTATTTGTACAATCTTAACTGAAGTTTGATTAGTATATAGTTCCCTGAATTGATTTGCTTAATTACATGAATCATACTATTGCATAATTTACACATATGAGCTTTAATATGTATACACACACACTGTGTCCGAACAAGTCCTTGCTTGGCCTTTGCTTTTAGAACTGTTTGTCATAGAGATATACTTCCAGCTACAAAGGTGTTTTATATGATGCAAATATTCATGGTTTTCCTTTCTTAAATTTAAAAAAAAAAAAAAAAAATAAGTTTTGTAAAAATTACAAAATCTTAATTTTATATATTCTCACAGTCTCCTGGAAAATGTTAAAAGTCTATTTCTTTGTGATTTAGTAGTATATAACATTGTTTAATTTATAATTAACAATTATTTGGTGTGGATTGTGAAATGAAATGTTGATTGGGAACTGCAGCATATAAATCGGCAGGACCGTGCAGTTTTTGAGAATTCTATCTGGAACTAATATTATTCATTATGAGTGTGCAGACAACTCTGTGATCCTTGCGACATGGCTGCAACGATCACCTGACTTAAGCCCACTAGAAATTTTTCTCTGGCCTTTATGGAAGTTTATGAAAAGGAATCGATGGTCAGGTTCAGATTGTCATCTGAACTGTATACATTACAAAGTTCGAAATCCGGACTCGTTGGGACTTTGGCCATTCCGGATTTGGGATTTTTCCGGATATTAGATCATCACTTTAAATCTGGTGTAAGATGGCATGCAGAAATTATACAGTTAAAAATATGAAATCGTAATTTATGAAATAAAGAACAATTATGATCTAAAGGGTATCAAAATTTACAAAAAAAAAGCTTAATATTAATTATATATAAATAAGCTTAATATTATTATTAACCTTAATATAAACATTTCTTTCAATGTAAGTTGTTTAAGTTGCTTCCACAAGAAATTCAAAAAGTTTGTTTTTCTTTATCTTATGCCATATACAGTTGATTTTCCTCACATGATTTTGAGATGGATTGTAGATCCTTTAGCAGCTCCAGAATTGGAAACTCTTTTTGACATAATTGTCACACTTAAAAGCGGTGTAACAGCAGGGTGCCAGTGTCAAGGACCGTACCACTTGTCGAACATGTAGGTTGTTTCGAATGCTGTCATGAGTAACTAACATAAGGTATAATATTTTTTAATAAATTATGACCATATTTTTTTAGTAATGGAATAATTAGATATTCTAGCAGAAATAAAGTGTGCGCCGAGTTCCAATAAAGACCTGAAAATGCCATCTGGGAGAGCTGAGACCCTGAGTCCTAGAGATACATATAATACATACAATACAGATAATGCGATACAACTGGTGCACATAAATCATAGCATAAGTCATAAAATACAGTACAGGTAAAGTAATTCAAATTAAACAATACGAGTATTAAGTATAGCCATAGGCCGTTTACAATTATTTGGGTCATTTGCATACTAATCGTAGACCCTTATAACAGGGTTGTTGATACTTGCGAGGTTAGCATAAAAATTCTAAGCAAGCCGGCAATAAAAATATTTCAGTTCTTTAATGCCTAATTCATCATGAAGTTTTTAATTTCGAACGTACCAGGGCGAGTTGCTGATCTGTCTTAGGACACAATTTTGCGCCTGCTGCAACTTTTTTCTATATGATTTGTATGAATATGCCCAAACCGGGCAGGCATAACATAGTATGGGACACAATACTGTTTTATAAATAAACAACTTGTTATCTATTGAAAGTACACTGTTTCAAGAAATTAAGGGGTGAAGTGTAGCTTTACTAACTCGAAACGTTTTAAGGATAGATGTTATGAGTAGATACCATGAGAGAGTTTTACTGAGGATCACCCCAAGATAAAGGACTTGCTTGGCCCATGGGATATCTTCTACGTAAAGTTACAGGTTTTTATTGAATTTGTTCTTGGTAAAAAGGATTGCTTGAGTTCTTATCTACATTAACCTTGATCTTCCATTTTTTCAGTTAAGTCTCATGTATGTTTACGTAGTCTTGTAGTCGTTGTAGTGCTGGGCTAATGAATGCACTTTGTGAGAGGATCGCAGTGTCGTCTGCATACATTGCAAGTGTTATGTTCTGTGTGGTGGGAATGTCGTTTACGTAAATATTGAATAAAGTGGGTCCAAGCAGACTTCCCTGGGCGACCCCAGCAAATATTGCCCTACGTCTTGATAGTGTGTTTGACACGCGAACGACAAAGTGTTTACCGGTTAGGTAGGATTTAACTATGCTTGTGATGTAACCTGGAAAGCCCAGGTTGTGTACTTTGTAAATGAGTGCAACATAATTGAAAGTTCAAGCTTAGTTTTTATAAAATTGCCGTAATAATAACAGTCTAAAAAATAATAAGCTGGATCAAAGATCAAATTAGAAAATTAGAGAGCAGCGCAGTTTGAACTGAACATTAACTGAAATACTTTAGAACTAGTAAAGATAATTTTAGTCTAGTTTAATAGCGTTCATTATACATTATTGGCTTGTGTATCACAAGATTGGCGGTGAAAGCCAAGTTGTTTCGCTAAATTTTTTCTTGCTCCTATTGCATACTGAATTAAGCCTGAATTGTATTAGTTTAGTTATTTACTATACCTACGGTTATTTCTTGCACATGCTTAAAACTAATCTGAGTCTTGAATAAATAAACTCTGACATATACTTAGGGCTTTATCTAGGGCTGGCGCAAGATACCGCTTGGTGCAGTCTCTACGGGTCCTAAATTCTGCTACAAAGCGCCTTCCTAAGTTCTAAATGTTCACTGCAGCTAAACTTTGGATCCCAGTGCTTTCCCTAAATCATAAAAACTCCTCATCCCTTAATTTTGCCGCTTGGTGCTTCCCCAAATTAAAAAATTTTTGCCTTCCCTAAATTCTGCCATCCGGTGCTGACATATTCTGCTGGCGCTTCTGGGTTTATTGTGAATAAACATATCAGTTATTCTTAATTAAAGTAGCACTAAATGTAATCTTTTGGCATATGAGCTCATTAACAAAATCTATTTTTAGCATATGAAAAGAAATTTTTGTTGAATTTTCCCTCGTCAACATTTCTTAGAGCATTTAAAAATCTATAATCATCGCCAAGCGTAATGTTAGCATAAAAGGTGCCATACTCTTGTTATTCAATTCCTAATATAAAAAAAAAAAAGTTCAGTCATCGCTGCATGAGTTATTACTGAAGCTGTCATGTATTGATCAACATGCAGTGATGAAAGCAATTTATAATAAATAATAACTCAACAGGTCGCCGTCAGGGATGTAAAATAGGTGAATGTTTGGGTTTGAGATGTATGCCAAGCAGCTACTCAGCTACGGAGCCAAATTATTAATCTCATAAATTTATGCTTACATGATTGTTTTTCCATAACGAGGTATTTTATTTAGTGCGTAAGTAAAATTAAGAATCGGAATTTTTAAGTGAAAAATCTCTACATGTTTTATTATGGAAAGAAAAATCAAATGTGCATGCATAAAGCATTAAAAAAAAAAAAAAATTGTTTGTGGCTGTAAGGTTCAGATTTTAGATCATTCCGGATAATGGACGTCCAGATTTTGGACTTTATACTGTATTAACTATGCGTGTGTGTAATACCAAATATATTAAGAGAGTTCAAAAGCGTTTTGTTTTAAGAACACAGTTCTTGGTAGTAGTTGAGCGCAGACATTTCAAACTAATATTAGTCAGTCGAGCATTGCAACCTTTATTATTTCACCTTAGAATTTGTCATTTTATGATTTCCTGTTGAATTGTAAGGATGGCTGTTTCTTAAAATTACCATTAACTGTTTTGCAGTTTTATGAATTAATAATTTTCCAGTTTTGTTATTGTGTACTACCAAATGCAGAGTATTATAAGACTGTTTTTTTTGTTTGTTTTGCAGTTATTGATGATGATTGTGGTATCTTATTTTATGATAGGCTGAGGGAGTTTTTCCCATCATTTTCTGAAATGTAAGTTTCGATTTTTGAGTATTAAAAAAAATCTTTGCTTCATTATTTTTTTCTTCCTTTTTGAAATAATAAATAGATTGATTCTTTCATTTAGAAAAATGTTTTGCAGTATACTTTTGCAATTTGCATTCTATACTAAAAGTTAAGCTCTGTCTAAAAATTTTTTATTGATCAAAGCTTTTTGAAATAGTCTGCATATCAGTGCTCATTGCTTAATCTATTAAAATCAAAGACTTTTTCCTAAACTCATTGCATCTGTATTGTTTCTTTCTATTCTTCTTTTAAAGAACTGTTTTGCAGTGGACTTTTGCCATTTGCACCACATGCTAAAAGTTAAGATCTCTTTAAAAATTTTGTATTGATCAAAGTTAGTTCGATAGTTTGCATATCAGTGCACATCACTTAATCTATTAAAATCAATGACTTTTTCCTAAACTCATTGCAATATTATTTTTCCTTCTTGTTACATAGAATATGCAGATTGATTCTTTCGTTTAGCGCACCATTCTTCAAACCAGGGGTGTGGTCATGAAAAACGTTTTGGGGTCACAAGGTTTCTGAAAACTGCATATCAGGGATCCAGACATAATATGAAATACTTATTCCTAAGAATTTGGGATCGCAATACAACTTGAGAACCTAAAAAGGGGTCGTGATTCTAAAAAGTTTGGGAATCTCTGATTTAGAGAACTAGTTCGCTGTTGACTTTTCCCATTTGCATTCTATGCTATAAATTAAAATCTCTTTAAAAATTTTACATTGATCAAAGCTTTCCACAAGAGTTTGCATATCAATGCTTGCCGCCAGAAACCTTTTTCTAAACTGCTATGTTATTTTTAGTTACATGTAAATTTAAATATTTCAATTTGTTGACAGCACATAAGAATTCTAAAAAATTGCCTGAAACTTTGAAATTAAATATCCCTATCAATTTTTATTATATGCAGGTTACATTTTGTAAATCATAAGTGGAACATTTTTCTAAATAATCATAAATGTAACATTTTTCTAAGTATAAAAATCGGAAGAGCATATAAAAGTAAATTTTTTTAAAATTTTTAAAAATTGATTTTTTAAAATTTAAAAATAGCAAAACATGAATATTTGCATAATTTAAAACGTGGTACTTACGTATTAACGCAACCACCATAGTAGAAGTCGCCAAATTTTCATAATGTGCCAAAATCTGTCAACTATGCTGATAACAATCAAGCAATGCCGCCATTTTCTTATGCTGTCTATTTTATTGTATTTCATTTTCCGGTGCTTTTCATAAACAAATCATAATACCTTTTTGCCTTAAACTTCATTGTAAAATATGAGCTTGGAGAATTTCCCAGCAATGAAAGAAACTGCTGTAAAATTTTTGCAAGAATACAGAATTTTTTTGAAATTTTTAGAGGAAAAACAATCAAATGCATTTCCTTGATATCCACTGTTCCAGAGGATTGCACAAAACCAAGGCTTCACAATTCTGTGTGTTTTTTTTTTATAATTTTTTTATTTATTTATTTTTATGTGAAACCAGATCACTATACTTCAAGAGGAGAAAAGTGCAAAAAATTTACAGAAAAAGTTGGAGGAGAAATTTTTTAATGTATAATGTAATTCTTATTTAATAATTCAAATTTATATTTTGAATTGCTAAAGTATGTTTTCTTTTTATATGTTGATAGTTTTTACCGACTTATGATAAACGTTGACAGTTTGGGAATCTTTCTAAGAAAAAGGCTCGAAAATCTCCAACTTGCATCTGATAAGTAACTTTTACCTTTTCTTCTGTAAAAAATAACATAATGCACTTATGTAGTTGTATGAATAGGTAAGTACCAAACATTTTTGTAATTCAAAGTATATAACTAGAGTCAACAGTTACGAAAATTAAGGCTGGGTAAGGACATTTGTAGATGCAGTGTATGTCCTTGAATATTACATAACTTTATAATCTATCAATGTTTTATGCATTACATAAAGCCATTATATTAGTACTTTAATAGCCATAATATTGTATGGATTTGTGATAACCTGAGTTGGTTAGGGATTTTGCAAAGGAAGTATCTTAACTTTTATGAAATGTTATGTTTTCCTGTATTGAATCATGTACCCTTCATTCATTCTGTAAAATTATGATAAGAGAGCATTAGAATTATGAAAGTAAATATAATAATTGTGGAATTATGAATGAATCACAAAGTAACAGCTTTGGATACTGCTTATCTTTTCATCTCTGTAAAATAAAACTATTTTAAAATACATTAATTTATTTAAGGAATTTGTTCATTAGTTCTATCTGGTGTTATGTGCTTATATTTTTATACTACATGATGCAAATTATCTGGACACCCCTAGGAAGTAAGAGATTTAACCATTGACATGGCACTGTATGCTCAAGTAGATATAAAAAGAGGTAGTAATGTTCAGACACATCATAGCAAATTTTAAAACCCGATATGGGTGAGAAACATAGCTTCAGAGAGTTGAAATAATCAGCTGCTTTTGTTATGGAAAATGCGTTTGTGAAATTTTGATAGTGTTAAAGATGACATATTCAGCTTTGCATGCTCTTACTACAAATTAAAAAGCTTCAGAAGTTACATCTGTTCAATCAAGACAAAGTCAAACACATAGTTTGACTGATAAAAGCCTTAGCTTTGTAGAGAAGTGAAATAAAACTGCATGGAATCAGCTAAAGACATTCTACAAATGCTGATGGTTGTAATATCAATAAAATGGCAATTCCTAGAAAGCTACAGAATTGAAGCTTTCATAAGAGAATAGCTGCACATAAACAGTGCAGCTAATGGCAGGTATCATATAGCTTGGTGTATAGCTGGATTAACTATTAAACAAAATAAGCATATGCTTAGGGTGTCAAGAGAAAGAGGGCACAGCAGAAATTTCTCATTGTTATTTTATTAGGAAATATATGATGTAAAACAGTTAATACTGCAGCTAAACTGAGAGGGGAATAATATTTTCGAAGTAATTCTTTCACTTTCTCCCAAATTTGTATTAATTAGCAAAGATTGGGTAAAAAGCTTATGGTAGTACTTTTAGGAAATTAGGAAGGACTTTATCCTTTGAAAAAACGGTGAAGTTGTTCCTCTTAGTTTGACTTTCAAAAGTTAAAACTTTTATGATTTTGATCCACATGCAGTATTTTCTGTTTTTTGCTAGTCAATAAGTTGTCAGGTATAGCTGTTAGAACAATGTTTCTCCGACCTGTTTTGTCCCATGCACCGCTTTCACTATTGCTGGAAGATCATCCTTTCTAAAGCTCAAAAAATACATTTATTTAGATTTAGATTATTTTCTAATGCCTTTTATAAATTAAATAGAAAAAAGAATAGAAAATGTTGATAAATACCAAAACTTGAAGTAGTTTTTTTTATATTCATAAACTAAAAATAAATACTTACAGCTGAATTAAAAGGCTGAATATATTCCGCCCCAGTTGAAAAATTGTCTTAGAACTTGAAAGTAGAACAACAAAGAAGTGAACAACCTTCAGTTTTGAACTGGAAGAAATAACAACTAAGAAACTGTTGTTGATTGTAATATTTATTTATTTATTCATTATTTAGTTGCAATACTTTTAAATGACATAAGAAATGGCACTATGCTTGGATTTGTACTTTTGTGTGGTAAACCATTTCATTTAAGCTATTAAAGGCAGCAAAAATGCTTTAAAAATAATTTTTGAATTGTAAAATGATGAATTTAAATGTTAGTGCATCTAATGAAAGAATTTTGTGTCGCCGTTAATCTAGTATTTTAGATTATTTCAGTTTTTAAATAATAATGAAACAATAATGATTACTGGTATACAATAAAAGTTTAGGCTCAAGAAGCTTACTTTTTTCTTCATTAGTTCTGAATGATAATCTCTAGAATCATTTGTTATCTTTCTTCATGTTAGGAATTTTTAAAATGTCAGGCACAATTTTGCTGAATATTTTGGTGGTGTTACAGTATTTATTGTATTGATGTTATAATTCAACGCTCACCAGAGTTGTTTTTTTTCTTTCAATAGTTTCTGTTTAGAGCAAAGGTAAATTTTGATTCAGTTGATAATTGTGCACTGTGTGCATTTTTTTTAATAATTATATATACAAGGCTGATGGTCGCATCTTTTATTGGTGATAGAATATGGCAAATGTAACTAACTATTTAATGGAGAGTGAAAAGTCATTTTAATCATGGCTATTTATAAGAAATAATTTTTGGTGTTTCCAAGAATTGTTTAAACGAATGGCCAATAACTGCAACAAACATATCATAATGACGAAGGGATTCAAAGATGCCCTTCATGTCACATACTTCTGCAACAGTGGCGCTTACTTTGGTAACAGGGTGTTCAAGAGGCTCAATCAGTATCTCATGAATGAGATCCGTCATTCTTGTGATGTGTGTATTGCAGTTGCTGGTCATTCATTTCAACAATTCTTGTTAATGCCCATGATTAAAATTTTTCTTTTTCCATATTCTTCATACTTACTGAGTTTTCATGTTCATATTTTACATTACACTGTGCATTGTGTAACTTTTGCCCATGTTCTCTTTCACCTTATAGTTGTAACCATCAATCTTATTTCAGCCTTACTCACACACATGTTTGAATACAGCTGATGCCGAACTTTGGTAAGTCTGCTTTGAAAAAAAATCATTGAGCTGACCACAACACAAATAAAATTAGTTCTTTTACTTCTTTTTCCTCATTTTCAACTCTGCAGCAAAGAGGAAAATCTGACTCCCAGTGAATAAAAATCTACTTATAAATTCATAATTCTTTATTGAGTACTTTGTTGAATTTTACAGGGATGGTTAATTTACTACCACAAGCATTCTGGCATGATTTATTTGCAAATATAAATCAGTAGTACTGTTTATCAAGTTTACATGCATTTTGTATGTCTTGTACTGATGATATTCCTACACAGAAACCTTATGTACTTGTCCACTGCTGGCTCAATGGATAAGATCCATAAAGACTTGGCAGTTCGATCAGGCTTTAAATCCCAATGAACCAACAGGCAGCATAGGCGTTTTCATGGATTTCCCTATGTATAAAATGAATATGCACCAATTTTCCTTAGAAAACCCTTCATGAAACATTCTTCCCTTTAGGCACATACAAGGCAAAAATTGGTCCCTTTAGGCATTAAGGCAAAAATGTAGTCCCCATATTTTTGCCTTAATTAAACGTCTTATTTTAAACATATATTTACCATTGAAAATTATGCTATCTACAGCAATGCTAATAGTTTAACAAGTGAAGTATGAGACACAAAATGAAAATATAATAAATTAATATGTGATGCATAGTTTTGAAATTTATATCAGGTAGTAAAAATATGAACACAATCCTGATGCTAAACTTTAAAACTTTTAAAAATGGGGAGCCATTCATAAACCCTAAATCCTGGTAGCTGCGATTCCTTTGCTTTTTTTTTTTTTTTTGAAATTGTTTATTTCTTTGCATTTGAATTGTAAGTTTTCGTGATAATTTCATTAGGATTTAGAAAAACGAAACTCCAGATATCAAAATTGAAGTTTAGGAAAGCATTTTTGGTTTAGACTTATTATTAAAATATAAGTAATGCAGAGGTTTATATTTAATATCATTGCATCATTTTGATGTTTCCAATATAAAATGTTGCATTTAAGTATATTTTGTCAGGAGGTAAAAATATACTTCAATAAAAAGAAATGATTTTTATATTGGTTTCTTAAACAAAATTAAATAGTGCTCAAAATATTTTTTTTTAATTTTTATTGTCAGCACAAAATAATTTAAATGATTGAAATATTTATGTTTTTGTATTTAAAAAAAATCAGTTTTTTGGAAGCTACGAAATTTTTATTTTTATTTTTTCCCAGTTTCGTGTACTTATATTTAGGAAAATTTTATGCTCATTATTAGAAATACAATACAAAAAGTATGGCTATTGTATAACAAAAATTATCGAAACATTAGAATGAAATATTTAATTTTAATATTGAAGATCACATTCAGGCACCGTACGCAGATTGACGTGTACCTAATTAACATTTGTACATGACCTAAAAATAAAATATCAGTTTAGAAAAGATTTTTTGATTTTAATATATTTAATCACGAGCATTGCTGTGCATATCATTGGGAAAAGTATTGATTGGTATAAACTTTTTTCGGCGAATTTTTTTACAGAAGTGCACAGAATTTGTGTTTCAGAATGCAGTAAGCAAGCTTGAGTATAAGCATATGCCAACTTGTAACATTACTTGCATAGATTAAAAAGTTTGGAGTAATACATTTTTTTGTGTGACTTAGGTTATGATACTAGAATAATAAAACTTCATTAAAGCATTAATGAAGTATTTTTAGCATTTGAGAACTTACAAATTATTTGTGTGAAAATTCTTTCAGTATACCAATTGTAACAAAATTATAAACGATTGTTAGATACCCTACTTTGTCAAATTTTATAATATTGTAAAACGCCAAAGCAAACGCAATAAAAGTAAGACGGCATGGTCAAAGAAATTCTTCGAAATTCAGTTGTGTTACCAATAACATCTTCGACAAACGAGTGTGGGAAACGGATACGGAATATATAAAGACGCTCGAATTTTTAGTACTACCAAAAAAAAAAAAAAAAATTAACACTGTTGTTGAGACTTGCTATCATTTCTAATGGCAGAACTACCTGCCAGCATTTCTTTCTTGGCTGAGAAAATTCCCATTACCTTCAGCTTTTCGAGTATGTAATGGGGATTTTAATTTTTTGAACTAAAAATAGCTTTGCTACAGACACATGGGTCTATCCTGGATTTAGATGGTTACATTTATGAAAAGCTGAAGCATCTGTCCTGCAAATCATTGTCTGCCCTTCTAGCTGTGTACAGCCCACCGTGGAAACAGCATAACTTTTCTCAGTACATGGAAAAAAGCTGCTGTCATGCTCATAATCAAAGTACAGAAATACCTGAAACATCCTTCGAAACATATGCTGATCGTACTAAGAAGTTGTGTTTCCATGCTTTGGGGAAAAGTGCAAACTGCTGCATTGGAGCATTCTTGCTACATTTCAGAGTAGTTTCCTTAGAGGTGGAATGAACACTAATGCTGAAGAAATGCTGCGTAAAGTGATCTTTCGGGAACTTCCATCTTTATCAAAAAAAAAAAAAAACCTTTGCCAGGTTTTTTTTTTTTTTTTTTTTTAATGTAAACTGTCACAATATATATATATATATAAAATAAAAGGAAGAAAAATTGTGGTGATACATATCAATAAAATTTGTTTCTACCTGTTTATGATTTCATCGTAAACTTGTGAAGAATTTCCTAAAAATATTCGAATATCCATAATTTTTACTGCTAAATATTTAATAATTATACATTAACTGAAATGTGTTTATAGAACAAAGGAAATGCAGAAAGATATTGCAGGTGATGTATTATGTGTCATAGGAACATGACAATAATAATAGTACAATTTCACTGAAGGGAAAAAAAAAAAAAAAAATGGCGTTTTAAAGTTTTCAGCGTTTTAAAAGGGAAATGGACATCTTTACAGTAAAATCATGGATGAAAGTTTTACTGTGACTCAACTTGGGAAGAAACTGGAAATTTATAGTGGAGGTGGGGTCCCTTTCTTCATTAAACAGCTGCGCTGAAGTGCGAAACGCTACCCCTCAAATGTACTTGTAAATTGGCGGATGACTCAGAACAGTAAACCGAAACTTGATCTTATTCTAATGCCATTTCTCTAGTCTATGGCGAGAACAAACAGAAGTTTTTCTTTAAAACTAAATTTAAAAGTGATCTCAAATATAATTAATTCTTCATTATAAAGGTAAGTTATTGATTTGTAATATTACATAAACTAAATTCTTATAATTTTAAACTTGCTAAATATTCAATTCAGCTAAACTTTTAATCCATTTATCTGAAAAATCCAAACTTATCACCATTAACAATGCAAATGTCTACTAATATTAATAACGTATTGTTATATTAACATGAAATATTTTTATGATAAGTAAGAAATATAAATATAATATATGTGTTCGTACATTAAGAAACATAGTAACAGGCCAAAAATTAAAAACAAAATTTTTTAAACACGTCCTGCGCTATAGTGCAGGATCGATCAACCAATCAATCGGCTCGACAATCGAAAATCAATCGACTTGAATGGAAAGCTCAACATCTAAAAAGCGTTTCTATTAATATGCAAGATATGAGAAACAAGTTTGAAGACATTATGAAAGAAGCTGAGTTTATTGCAAATAAATGGGGCATAGAAACTAAATTTTAAAAAATAAAAAGAACCTAAAACACTCATTGTTAACAAATACGGAAATTATTAATAATATTTCAAAAATAAAGAAGACTTTGCTAATGCACTGGAAGTACAACTTTTATTATTTATAAATACTTTCAGAACAGAAATCCAAAATTTGAAATCCGTTAAGGATTTAGCTAAATTAGCAATGGTAAAATATTATGACATGACAAGCAGTTATTCGGGAGTGTGCAATTCACTTATATTGTATTTATCATTACCTGTAACCACAGCCACGAGTGAGAGGTCATTTTCAATACTGAAACTAAAAAAACATATTTAAGAAACACTATGACACAAGATCGGTTGTCAAACCTATCACTATTGAGCGTTGAAGCTGAGATGGCTGAGAAAAGGGATTTCCAAGTATTAATAAATAATTTTGCGCAAATGAAGGTTAGGAGACGCAAATTTTAAAATAATTTTTTCTTTATGATGAAGTTTGGCTACCAATGTTATAAATTACATCTATTGAGGGAGGAAAAAATTAGAAAAGAAGAGCAGTACGGACTGAGGAAAAT